AAGAACATCAAAGCGAACATCAGGCGAGCCACAAACAACAACGCTCCATGCACCAAGCACCACGCAAAACGAACGACGAGCGGTGCATACAAAACCACAGACGACTTCCGCTGCACGAGCAACGAGCGACGAGCGAGGCAGGCGCAGGCGCAGGCGCAGGATCAATCCGGAGGCCACAGAGTCGGGCAGACCTGTTTCAGCTCGACGTGAGTTGGCGTTTTTATACCCACGAATGCACTCCGAATGGGGTATGTGAGAGGAGACAAAGAAGCTGGCGTGAAGAACATGAGATGATGGGGATGGGAACGAAATGAAGCGAGGAGATGAAATGATGATTATGATATATGTATATATGATCATATATACCACTTCATAAGATTCTAAAATATACATCTGCAGCTACAGATAAATTGCTCAACTTGAATACGGAGTATCTATCAGTCGATCACTTCCCCACAGCACTGCATTTGTGTTTTTAAGATCGAATGACGATCACATGGACCTCAGACGCAATCTGTTTGCCGTTGATATGCGTATGCGAATTCATAATGATTTCATTGATCTGTCATTCAGGAGCTTCCAGCATGACGGCGAATGACTATAATATGCACATGACATGTGTATGTGTATGTGTGTGTGTGTGTGTTTGTATGTGTGCTGATAACACTTCCTGGCTGCAGCTCATTAGAGCAACTCGCTTCAAAGGCCAATCTCAGCGGCGATACACCTTCGAGCAGCAGACAGAGCGGAGCATCAGATGCTCCGCTCATCTAGCGGTAATATAGCGCGAGAGACATGCCGCGCCACCCCATGGCAGATGGGTATCACAGTTATGGCAATGACTTGCCGGAAATGATCAAAAAGTTGAATGACAGCAGAATTGATAACAAATTTATTGATAGATATACCTCAGTTGCTCTCAGTTGCATATCTTAGCTAATTGCATAAGCTAATTCCGAGATGTTAATTTACATATAGAGTGCTGATTAATCTATATTTAGAGCAGAGATTAGCAATGTATTTCAATGAATTTATTTACGAAATATGCACTTTGTTTATATTTGTGCATTTGTAGCGCTCCTTATCTATGTTTGTGTGCTAAAAATTGCCATTGTTTACAGTTAGTTTCGCTCGAGTCGCCGCCAAATTTGATTAGCTCTCAATTTACACTCACGCACACGCACAAGCACACGCACACATGCATAAATATGCGCATTTGCAGTTATTTGAACTGCTCTCATCTGCCGCATTCAATCCATTTACCATTTGGCAGCACTTGGCAACCGTTGCAGCAGAGCAGCGCAGCAGCAGCAGCAGCTCAAATTGTCGCTTTGTCGCTTTGTCCGTCTTATCAACTTCATTCATTAGTGCTGTCAATGCGTTCATGTATGTATGTGTGTGTCCGTGTCCGTGTTCGTGTCCATGTGTGTGTAGTTATTGAGAGAGCAGCGCAGACGAGCCAATACAGTTACTCAAATGGCAATACTTGCATGCCATGTACTCGCTTCGTTAAATATAGCACACTTCAATAAAAAAAAAAAAAACAGCAACAACAACAACAACAACAAACAAAAAATGGAAAAAAATGCCGTGCCAACGTTTCAGTTCGGTTTCCATTCATCAATATAAGAAAGCGACCCAAACTGTGTCAATCAGCCATAGCGACAGCGACAAAGACAGAAGCAGAGACAGCGAGGACCGACGAATGCGGCGATGAGGCAAAGACCAGTTTGAAGCGAATTGGCAGGTCTCGTGCGCTTATCAGACCCGTTCGCCATCTCAGTTTGTTTGTTGGGTGTGTAGTGTGCCGCAAAGTCGCCGCTGATTACAGTTAAATTTTTTTCTGCTATTTGAATCATTTTATTTTATTTTTTTTTTGCATAGGGAAAGGTGACCTGGCGAACTGTGGGGCTATCAGCGGCGACAAACATGCACGCACACCAACACACAGACACACACACACACATACATACATACACGCGGCCGCTCAAGTGAAGAGCGTTTGAAATTTGCGCTGGGTTGTTGGTTGGTTTGACTGACCGCGCGAATTATGATTGAATAATGTGCCCACTGCGAGGGTCGTAGTCGTAGTCACTTGCCAGTCAATTATGCAAAACGGTTACTGCACTTTGCATTAATTAACGAGTACAACAATAAATGCGAATATTTAATAGTTACAAACTATTTGACTCTGCTGTCATACGAGTTGCACGTGTACCGAGATGCCTAAGCTGAGCTTTCAAAACGAACAGCTGTTTAGAGAGCCAAAGAGAAAGAGAGCGGAAGAGAGTGAGAGTGTTAGAGTTTGTGTGTATGTGTGTGGGAGAGTGCAGAAAATGTCGTTGCTTTAGCTCTTCTTCTTGTTATTCTTCTTCTGCTGGTTGTTGTTATTATTATATTGTATGCTGCCCTCCCTTCCAGTGTGAGTGAAATATTTTGCAGTTAAATTTAAATTGAACGTACATATGTGTGCTCGTGTGTGTGCGTGTGTGTTTATGTTTGTGTGCTTGCAACATTTTCAGTAATTTAAAAATAAGTGCGCCGACGAGCAGCGGCCCCAAATAGCATCCGCGAAGTGCAGCCGACTGGATTGGCGCAACCATGCCATGTGATGATGCGTATGCAGCATAAGCAAGCAGGCAACAGAGTGAGAGAAAGAGAGAAAGAAACAGCCAGGGGCTGCTACTGCGACGGCAATGCTGGCTGGGGTTGGAGCAGCAGGCGGGTCTCCGGTCGGTCGGCCGGTCCGTGTGCGCGAGATAAACAAACTGCCAGTTCACTATCAATCAAATACCGGAAACAGCTGCTTTAGTTTTATTTTGCCATAGCCATTTGGCACAGCAACACACACAAACTCTCGCACACACACACACACATCGACACGCACGCATACTCGGAGCAGAGCGAGAACGGCAGGCAGACAGACAGCAGCGACTTAGGCGACGGCTGCAACGACGTCGTCCACGTCATCATTGGCATACGTATAACGTATAACGTATAACGTGGCATATGTATTAATACACATACCAGCATGTGAAACATGTGCATGAAGAGGAGTATGTTATTTATGTTATGTTAACACAGAGAGAGCTGTTTGCCTCGAGCTGAAATGAAGTCTGTAAACAGATTTATTCTGTTAACATGATTCTGTAAGGTTGGCAATGTAAAAGACACTCTGTTGATATTTAGTATTATATGATTTTTTTTATTTTGTAGTTTTTTAACGGAACATACATTCTAAAAACATTACATAAAGTTCTTCATCATCATCTTCTTCATTGCCATGGAGGCTCTCCAACCACCGTCAAGCTCCACTTCTCCTTCAACTCCATTATTATAGTAAAATGTACAAATAAAATAAATATTCATTATATGTATATCTTGTATGTATGTATAGTGCCTTAAATATTAATCGTTTACTTAAATATTCATCAACTTGCTTTACTTTACTTTCTTTTAGTTTGTTTTTACTTCTCCATTTGTATTTAATTTTAGTTTTATTCATTAATATTATAGTTAGGATTTAAGCATAGTATATGTTTGTATTACTAAGCTATATTAGCTTATCTATATATAACATATACATTTATAACATATGGTAAAGTGTGTTTTTTAGTTGTTTTTTTTTTTTCAATCTTTTTTTTTAATAATATTTTTTATAAATTTGTTGTCGCCTTTGCTAATCGGATTGTATTTTTTTTTTCTTTTCTGGTTTATCTTTATCTAGTTCTGCATATATAAAAAAAAATGGTTTAGTTCTGGATTTTTTTACTCTTAAAATGTTGTTTGGCTTTTAATTGTTTTTCATTTCTGTTGTTTTATTTTATTATTATTTTCAGTTTTGTTTTGGAATCTTGTGTTATATTACAATAAAAAATCATAAAAAAAATAATAACAATTTGCATATAAAATACATTTGTAAGAAATTAATTGTTCATTCAGATTTAGTTTTACAAAAATTTATTTTAATCAGTTTTAAGTTTTTGCTGTAGTAAAGTAAACTTTGTTCATTTCTCCTCTCGTATATATGTATGTATGGCTACCACGCACACATATACGCTCACGCACATATACATAAGCACATTTAGACTTGGATCTAGAGCAGAATTTAGTTTTAGTTTGAAGAACATATAACATATTATTATGCATTAAATTCGTAATGTGTTTAGTTGTTGTTGTTGTTGTTTTTTGTTTGCCTCTACTTTTACTTTATCAGATATCGTACAGATTATGATATATATCGTATATATATATCGTATGTGCGTAAATGTTTTTGTGTTTTTATAGACTTGTTTTTGTTTTTTAGTTCTACAACATCAAAATGGACTTTTGGATATTCAAAAATTTTCTCTAGTTACAGTGTTTGCTGTATATATGTATATGTATATATACATATATATCGATATATATCCATATATACATATAGGCATAATATTTATCTAAAAAGTTCATACGAATGGTTCAGTTATGCAGAAACGAGGCTTTACTGTACAGGTTACATTGGTGTTGGAATTGTATTTTTGTAAATTTGAAAACAAAAAATAATAATAAAATAAATAAAAATAAAAACAAATTTGCCAAATTCAAGAATAATAATGCAAAATATATAAAAATATATATATTTATATATGTATTCAAAAAAATAGTTTACAAACATATTTTTTGTCGCTCGTAGTTTTTTTTTTTTAGATTTTAGTTTTGTTTAGTTTTTCTTTTCTTTTTTTTTTAAATTAAGCGAACATTATTTTTTAAATAACATTTCTAATAATTAATAATTATCTGTTTGCAGTCTTTGGTTATTTATTTTTTCTTTTCTTTTTTGTTTTTCCATTTTTTTTTTTCCATACAGTTAATATTTTTGTTTTTGCATACATATATATATATATACATACATATATACATATGTATGCGTGCATATGTATATATGTACGTATATATATATATATTATATATAGGCTCATATGTTTAAGTCATACATTTAATAATTTGTATATATAGGCGTACACACATACATATATACATATACATATATACATATACATATATACGTATGTATATATACATACATATGTATATATCAATTTCGAAGCTCTACACGCTCTCCTCACTCTCCTCCCTCTCCTTCGCTAGCTGCTGTCTGTGTCGCGTTTTTTACCCGCGGCAAAAAACGCGCACAAAACGCGCGCTCACACTCTCTCTCTCTCTCTCCCTCCACCGTTACTCTGCCTTGCCTTCAGTAGTCTGGACTCGAGTCGAGCAGTCGCTTCTCTGGCGTCAGATCGCCTTTGCGCAGAATTCTGCTAGCCGCACTGCAGCCATGATCGAATCCCTTGCCATTCGCCTGCAGCGCCGCATTGGGGGAGCCAATGGAGCTGCTGTTGTTGAGGACGCCGCCGGCTAGCGGCACAATGGGCATCATGCTGCTGGTGGAGCCAATGGCCGCGTCGACGCCGATGTTGCCCTGGCACCGGCAGCCGCGTCCCGCGAACCGCGCGTAGCACTTCTCGCAGAGCTTGATGCAGCCGCGCATGGGCCAGTAGCACCAGAGGCAGGGCAGCACAATGGACAGGGCGCCCAGCCAGCCCCAGCGCTGGGTGCGCTTGTAGGGGCCGCAGGAACAGGGATTATCGACGCAGGGTGTGCCGGTGCCATCGTCGCAGTCCATGTCGTTGTCCCGCGCACAGTGATAGAACAGCGCCTTCGCGCAGCACAGGCACGAGGCATAGTCGATGATCGACTCGGCGCTGCACAGGCACGTCTTGTTGCACACCCATGTCTGGGGCAGCGGGCGCGGGCTTTGGCACTGCTCGCAGCGGCACAGGCCGCAGCGTGGACACACAATCGGATTCAGCAGCGACGGATCGCCGCCCATCACTATCGAGGCGCCCAGCTGGCCGCCGCTGCCGGGCAGCATCTGCTGCTGCTGCTGCTGCTGTTGCTGGTGCTGCTGCAGCAGCTCCTGCATGTGCTCCTTGCTGCCCGGCTGCTTGGTAATGGGTGGCTGCATCTGTCCAGCCGCCGCTGTTGCTGCGAAGCCTAGGCGCGGTGGTGCAGGCGGTGCAAACTTTGAGGCGGGTGTTGCTTTGGTTTGGCCATTTAACTGATGCGGTTGGTGGTGCTGCTGATGTGGGTGGTGGTGGTGCTGGTGGTGGTGATGGTGGTGCGCGGGTATGTGTTGCAAATGCGAATGTAATAAGCCATCGATGCCTGCTCCGGACGACGTCGACGTGGACGTCGCACCCACTCCAACTCCCACTCCCGCTCCCGCTCCCGTTCCCGCCGCCGCCGCCGCCAATCGATTAATGTGATGGGCAGCCGCTGTTGCTGTTGCAGCCGCTGCTGCTGCCGTTGCCGTTGCAGACGCTGACGTCGCATGTTGCTGCTGGTGTCGTTGCGGCAGCAGCAGCAAATGGTGCGTCGTTGTCTGTCCGTTATCCTGCTGCCCGGCCGGATGCTGGCTGCGTGTCGCATGCTGCAGCGGCGTGTCCACGTACTCATTGGTGAGCCTTTCGGATTCGGGTCGCGGTTGAGCCAGCGTGACGGGCGAGGCGGGCGGCTGACCCGTTGACAACAGAGACACGGGCTCAGCGCTTTGGAAATGACTAAGGAAGTTGTTGTTGTTGTTGTTATTGTTGTGGTTGCTGTGGTTGCTGTTCGTGTTGTGTATGCTGATGTTGTTGTTCGTCAGCAGCGGCGCTGGCGGTCGTCGTCGCGTGAAACTGGAACTCGAACCGGCGCTGCTGTTCGCCGTGGCCGTCGAGGAGGAGGCGTTGCTGCTGTTGCGACTGAGGCTGCTCGGTCGCTGCGGCAGAAATGTCAGATGATGTATCTGATAGTCGTCAAAGTCGGCCGTTGTGGGTATTATAGATATAATGTTGTTGTTGTTGTTGTTGTTGTTTATAGTCGATGTTGCAGTTGTTGTTGTGCTAATACTCAGTTGTTGCTGATTGCTGTTGCTGTTGCTGCTGCTGTTGCTGTTGCTGCTGCTGCTACTGTTGTTGCTGCTGCTGCTGATGCTATTGCTGCTGTTGCTGATGCTGTTGCCACCACCTAGCGCTGTTGGCTCCGGCGCCCTTGGTCGATGCACACGCGGTTGGAGCTTTGGGGGCCGTGGTGGCGCCAAGGGATCGCCGCCATTTCTGCGATCCATGTAGTGTTGCAAAAAACCAAAATTCCAAACACCAGCCTAGCTCTGCTTGGCTGCCTGCCGGTCTCTCAATCGCTATCTACCTTCGTCTACCTCGGCTGCTCAGCTCTCAATAGAGCTTGAGGTAATTGCTGTGACCAAAATCGGCTCGATTTGCCTTCATCCTAGCACGTTCCGTCGCCCGATTGCTTTCTGCAACAACAACAACAAGCGAAAATAAGTGAATTAGTTTAACTGTATGCATGTGTAAATATATGTATGAAATATCTTTCATTTTGCCTTCAACTAGCACGTTCTTATTAACTACATACGAATATAACCTATATTGTACATCTATTTAAAAAAAACTCAGCTGAAGGTTCGCTTGGCACGAACCACATTTGTTGTTGTTACTCTTCATATTTCTCATTGTTTATAATTAATTTCTTGCTGTGCCATAAATATATGTATATGTATGTATAAAAATAAAAACATTCGAAAAACAAAAACAACTCGAAGAACAAGCACAACATCGCTTTGGTCAGCTCAAACCCCCCAAGAAAAAGGTCAAAACCATTGGCGTGACTCTTGTGTAAACATAATGCAAAAACTTGCGATACCCTGTAATTCATAAATAAATATCATAGGGTATGCTGTTGTGAACTTTAATTTTGTACACTTTAGCAAATCCATTTATGATCATTTTATATTGTACAGGGTATCTTGCTGCAGATCACTCTTAAATATTGCATTCGCTATTGCTTTTTATCGTTTGATATTATATACAGATCATGCCATGCACTCTGACTATTAGATTTACATAAGATTTACAATAAACACATTTTACAGGGTATCTCACTGCAATAATTCCCATTTCTTATACTACATATATCTCTACATTTAATATATACATATATATATTTTAACACTTTGCTTATCAACATTCAACATCTCTCAATCAGTACTCCCCTTTTACAGGGTATCTCTTGATCTGCCACTTCTCCCAGCTGCTCCGCTAATTGTTTACTTTTAAAGTTTGTTTTAATTTGTTCCCTCCATTGTCTGCCATTGGTACTAAACCCTCAAAATTCCCTAGAATTTACGATCTTCTCAGATTGTAGCTCCCCAATTAGGATTTTGGCTAATCTTGGAGCGGGTAGCTTTGTTTGTTTTTCTCCTTCTGCATCAAGTTTAATGCCTATTCCTGAGAATTGGCCTAGACTTTTTGTTTAGCTCTGCAATTGAAGTTTCTGATTCAGATATTTTTTTATTGCTTAATTCCATATTTGAGCTTTTTGTACGCAACGAAATTTGTTTTCTTTTGCTTTTTAGTATTTTAATCACCTTTCATCTCACTCGGTGAACTAAATGATCTTCATTATCTTTTATAGCCACTCCCGCAGTTCGTAAAAATTGAAATAAAATTAATTTGGGCGCCACATTCAGTTTTTTTTTGTTTTTTTAATTTAACCATATAAAAAATGCTGGGTTTTATGAATAATATTATTTTGCAATCGAAATGGGAATTGGAATTTGAACTAAAAAATGATCTAAAATGTTTATATACAAATTTTATTCAAATTGAAAAGCGAATTGGTATACAATGTTTACTTTTAGCACTGTTGTGTACTAAATGATCTAAAACTGCATTAGGACTGACATTGATCGAAATTATATATATACATAGACCACTAAATTGGGCTGGAAAACATTTTTAGAGCTAAAATAATAATTGACTTGTTCTAAAGTCTAAAATATTATATTAAATATGTAATTGAAATAGACTTGAATTTAACTAAAAGACTTGCATAAAATTGTATATGTTTTAAATTAGAATTGCCATCAGTTATTATTGCTCTATTCGCTATTACTATGATCTAAAAAATGTTCTAAAATGTCTAATAATTTTTATATAAATAATGCGATTAACTCTGATGTTAATTCCAAAAGAGCTTCACCCATATAGTTTATTGAATCGCCTAGCGAGTGCTTACTGTAGCAATAATATATCTATGCCATGTCGAAATGAATTTGGAAGCACTTAAAGCATCTCAGCTATGTATTATTAATGAATGCGTGGCACGAGTCACAAATAAGTAAATACAGGAAATTAATGAAGCCAACGATGCTAAACATGAAATCTAACTATACCCGAAAATTAATATATATACATGTATCTATATACATTCCCGTAGCGAATGGGCAATAAAAAGCTCTAAGAATTAGTATTATTATAAGTGTTTCGCATAGGCAACAACCAAATGCCAATGGATCTTTATTGATTCAATTTTACATAAGTATAGCACATATATTTACGATATATATATATATTCGATATATCTGGTATACAAATTTGAAACAAACGCCCACTTATTGACGTCATGTCCGGTACTCAAAAACAATTTTCGAGAATGACCACAATTGAGAAAAACAAAATCGAAATAAACAGCCAACAGATGAGGAATGGTCCAACGCAGAGGGGCCCGTGTGGACGGGGGGCGTGGCAGATCGCTTGCTGATTGCCAATAAGAAAAGCCATGAGAAATACTAGCTAGACCAAGAAAGAAAAAAAAAACTGAAATACTCGACTTGTGTGTTTGCCAAACGTGATTTGGTTTTTCTTTTGATTTTTCGTTGATTTTTGTTTCTTCTCATTTCTAATTTTTATATTGCAAATTATTTGTTAATTTATGAACATTAAACATGAGTGTATAAATGAATATATTTTTAATAGATATTTGTTTCATAATTAAAAAATTGTTTTTTAATTATTATCGCAGAGCACAAAAAACGAAGAAATGAAAGAAACTGCCACGCCCAAAACTCTGAATGCCAAGATTTTCGATTTCATTCTTAAATTAATTGGCACAGCGCAACAATAAAAACAACAAATAAAAAAGAGAGAAAACGAAACAAAAACAAACAATGGAAAATAACAACAAAAATATCATCACGTAATTTAAAAAGATTTTTCTTATTTTTAATTGCGTTCGAATAATTTTTTGTATTGTCTGCATTGTTGTTGTATTTTGTAGCATGTAGCATTAACAAACTTTGACCTTGTACAAAAGAAAAAGTGCTGCCAATTGTTTAATTTTTATTAATTGTTTGCTAAGTAAATTTTTACATTAACATTTTCATAATTGTTGACACTGTTAAAGTTGGCAGCTGCGGCTGCTATAATAGTGGACTGTTAAGCTTTTCTTGGCTGTTAAAGCTGTGCGTTCTTTAACATTACGCCGCTGCTCTTTAAACTATTATAGCTGTTATTCAAGCTGTACAATTGCTAGCGTTCCACTGTTAAAAGACCACATCGTGCTAACGTTCGCTGTTAAGTTTAGCTATGGAGCTTTCTGCTGCTGCTATTGCTGTAGTTATTGGTGCTGTTAAATGTGCTGTCACTGTTACACATGCTGCTGCTATCGAATTAAAATGAATTAATTATTCTTAAACCTGCTGCTATTATTGTTAAAGGATCTGCCTTATTCGAATTCGAAATTAGCATTTGGAATTTGAAACACTTTCATTAATAAGTGAACTTGTCGCTGCGAACGCCACAGAACAAGTCACGCGAATCGCTGTCGCTGCTAGCGCCGTGTCGCAGTCTGAGTTAGCGTCAGCGTCAGCGTCTACGTCAGCGCTGTTGTCTTTCATTCAAACGTTTCGATGGGTTTTTTTCTTTCTCTTGCTCTCTTGCTTTTGTCATTGTATTTTTGTTTTGTTTGCTGCCTGTTGCAATTCAAATAGAATTATTTAGCCCAAGCAAAAATCAAATGCAAACTGGTTTTAATTTTATAATAATGATTTTTTTATATTGTATATGTATATTTTTGTTGTTTTCAGTTTTGTTGTGGTTGAAGTCGGACTACATTTGAGGGCCGTGCTCCGTGGGCGGTGCTGACATTGGAGCCGCTGGGGCGGCAGCCACGCCCCACTGTCATTTAATATGCAATTAACAAATATCAGCATGACCCAATTATCATAAAAATACAAATACAAAAACAAAAACAGCAAGAAATATGGAAAAGAACACGAAAAAGCTCGATAAAAGCCAATTTTATGAACTACTCATAAACGATATAGCGCGTAATTAATGGACATATTTAGCCAACATCAAATGTGGCTATAAAACGAGCAGAAAACACTGGATAAATAAACAGTAGACATACATACATACATACATGTACATATATATCTACATGTATCTGAACAGTGCGAGAGCCTGACTTGCCTTACGAGACGTTATAATCTGTATTTTATATGCTTTGCGTTTAGTACATTTTACGATTAATAATAATCTGTAAAAATTATAGTACAGTGAACACACCCTAAGTGGATCCGCACAAATTGAGGCATTTTTATAGTTAATATGAGTTTCTAGATATGGCCAAACATAAATTTGATATGATTCCTTAACTGCAATCGATTAGTTCCAGCAGCCGAGTGTTTACTGTACGAGTTCAACACGTGGTGCAGGGCATTTAAATGCCTCTGCTATTTTATGAATTTGCTCAAAATTGCTGAGCTGCGAAAATTGATTTAAAACGACTTTCTGAAGCAGTCAGCAATGAGGCAAATATAATCATATGAATATACATATATATATAATTATAGTATATATATAATTATACATTTGTGTATATAATTAAATTAAAAATTGGAAAAGAAATTGGCGCGTGTGCTCTTATCTTTTATGTTTATAATATTAAGGGAAATTGAGAAATTCCAAAAAAGATAGAGATACAAATGCAGCTACAGATACGATTGCAGATGCAGATACAGGTACATATAAATATGGATTTATAGATAAAACTATAGACCCAAATTCAGATAGAAATCTAGCTATAAATGCATATTTCTATATGTAGATACAAGTATTAAATTTAGATACAGATACATATGGATTTAAAGTTACAGATACAAAAGTATCTACAACTTCTAATTCAAATACAGAGACAAATGTAGATACTGTTACAGATGCAAATGCAGAATCGGATACAGATGCAAATGTAACCACAGATATAGATACAGATACAGATACAGCTAAAGATACATATATACATAGCGGCCGCCACAAATGGAGCTACAGCTGCGACAGATGAGCATCGTAGACAGGAAACGCTAATGACTGCCGGCAAAGAGCTGCCTCAGCCTCGTGGCAGTAAATCGGTAACGGAAAAGACTCGCCAGACTGAAGGGAAAACTAAAGAAGG